CCACCTGAAAGCCAAGTCACGGGCTGTTGAGCGGGTTTGTTGGCTGCTCTGGGTGTTCATGCGCAGTCGTCTATTCGTACGACGGATTTTGTAGGGCTCGCAAGTAGTCAAGTCACTGCACGTCATGGAGCGTGCAAAAGCGGTCACAGCATCTCGGCGTGACATTGCGGGATACAGAGTACAGGAACGGGGGGGAGCAACAGTGTTAAAGGGATGATGGCAAGCAGAGTTTGGCCCAGTATACGTCAAGCAGGCACTACTTGAACACTTTGACATTCTTGCCTTCACTCGGAAAGCTATTGTCCGGCTTGCCACCAAGCGCGGCGTACGAGACGGGTCTGAAGACGTGCAAAATGCCCCTTGAAAGCGTCGACAGATCATAAGTGCTGCGGCTGCAGACGCTTCTTGCCGATTGTTCCATCACTGCCAAATGACCCAGGTGTTGAGGGGCCATCGGAGGAGCGTCGTGCGGATCAGCTGCGGAAGCGAGGGCGTGGTACCACTCCGGAGCGGACGAATCGGAAAGTAGCACAGCTGTGTGGTCTGGTGCTCCGAGGTCCTGCAAGGGGGTGGCCCGAAGCGAGTGTAGCTTATCGTTAGCTACCTTAGCTAGACGGCGCTCGCTTGCTTGATTGCGACCGATCGACCGGCAGATCGAAGAATCTTCGACTCACCACGTACGATCCGGCAGGAGAATGGAGGAGGGAACATCGAGCGCTTTTCCACTGCAAGATGTCTCCTCTTCGCAAGGCGTAGTCTCCACCTCTCCATCTGCCTCCTGCATCCGCCTCTCCAGCGTAAATAAGATGTCCAAGGGTGTACGAAATGGGTTCGACTAGCAGGCGCGGTCATGACGGGAGGTAGTCTTCATCAGCTCAACGTATATGCACACGATACTGCTGCCGATTGCGATCGGCTCCATCAACTCACAAACTGCATAAGGACCTGTCAGGCCGCTAGTAGCGTTCAGCTGCACAAGAGCTTGTTGGGCCAATGTCCAGCACTCCCCATCGCCTACACTGCTTCCCTCGCATGTCTCCACATACCGCGCGACCTCTTCGCCGAACCTTTGGCTTTCGCTATACAGTCGTGCCGCATCCAAGGGCGCCGGGGGATCCCTCACCGCCACTTTGACTTTTGCTCCGCTATTTCCAAAGATTCCTTCGGACCACGATACGCTGTACCACAGCACACTGAGATCTTGGAAAGCTGCGTGCCCGACGACGGTGCGCTCCGTGCCCACCCATTGTATACTTGAAGATCGAGTGCATTCCCGATGAGAGACGACGAAGGAAGGAGCGTAGGGTGACTGTGCGTACCAGGCATTGGGCAAAATCCATTCGGGCCCCGTCTTTGACATGAACTGATCGACCAGTGTCCGAGCTGTAGGTTCTTCGTCATACGGCTTCGAAGACGCCGTGAGCAGTGGATAAGAGCCTGTTGAGGCAGGAACGGGAGCTGAGGACGTGACCGGCGCCATGCGGATCGAAGGTGAAGAAGTGGGCTTGGCGCTCAAGGGTTTGGGAGCGAAAGACGGCGGGCGAGGCTGGGTCACCGCACCTGGCGTGGGTGCGGAGGAGGTGCGCGCTGTGACTGAAAGATTGTGATGATGCACATGCTACGCGATCAGTATGCGGAGCTTGCGGTCGCAGAGCCTCTACGCAGCGCTTTGAGACGCACGCTCTGCAAAGAACTTTGGTATTATTAGCGCATGGATGAGAAGGAGGTCAGCATTGAGAAGCTTGTGCGCAACGACGCAAGGGCTGATTGGCGTGTACACTCACCTCATCTAGCAGTTCGAAAAACGCTTGCTTGTCCGCTTGCGAGATCTGACTCCACTTGAACGTCGCATTTCCGCCCGTTGATACTTTTCTAGCAGGAGGAGCTGGAGGAGGAACAACGCTGCCATAAGCCGGTGGTGGATTATTCGTTCCAGCTTCGTTGGCCATTCGGGGCGGTAGAGCTGGAGTTTGCCGGTTCGAGTTGGTACGGGCAGGAGGGAGAGGAGAAGAACCAGCGAGAGTGGAGGAGGCAGTGGAGCGAGATGGGGGATGGGGAGGTGCGCCTCGCGAGGAGGATGCACTCGCGGATGTGTTCGAAGCTTGGCCCGCTTCCTCTTGCTCCTCTTCTTTCCGAGCTTTGGCAGTCTGATCCCACCTCCTATCCGCTGCTGTGCGGGACATGTCCAAGCGGTCTTTCATGCTTGTTCTAGGCGTGTGGAGTGGATACGGGTGCGTGAGCTGGATCATGCGAAAGCTAGGCAATGCTTCACATCTCTTTGATGACCTACTTGGTCCCAGCAGCCTTTTGATCCTTCAATTTGGCCATGGCATTGAACCCAAACTGGTCCAATTTCTCCATCTTGTCCTTCATTGGATGGTAAGGATACGGCATCTTGGATCAAATCGATCCAAAGCACAGACCTTAGCGGTAGCTGGAGCGGTGGCAGGCGCTGATTCGAAGGGTCAATCGAGCGACGGAGGAGGAGGGGTGACTTTGTTCGTGCGCTGCTTCTTTGAACACGACGAAGCGAGGGTATCACAGGTGAGATGAATGTCCTGGCAGGATGTGCGCAACCAGATATCCGTGGATCATGATGATGGGTGGGTGACAGTGCCTGCACACGGCGCGCGCTGCATCTACAGTCGTGAGTGTATGTGGCATGACTGCATGACCTCTTGGCATCCTCGCACGCGCGTCTTGCAGCGAGCCGAATTGCGCGTGGGGAGATGTGGCGATGCTTTCGCGTGCGCCTGATGTTGCACCATTGGTACGTGACACACGTGACTCCTCTAATTGGTGGCTCCTGGTACTCAAACTCTTATTGACTCTTGACTCTTGACTCTTGACTCAAACCTCGAGTCGCTCAGCGCGACCGTAAACGCTCGAATCCATATATGCGGCTTTCCAAGCTCACTCCTTCATCACCTCGCACTTTACCCACAGCGCAAGATTGCAACTCCAGCCTGCAAATCACATCATGACCAATTGCGGAGCATACCCAGTATCCGAGTGCACGCTCCGACAAGCATGGTCTCGCGGGCAAAGTGGTCATGCATTCCCAGTCAGACTGATGATCTGCTCGTACTGCATGCCGCGAGAATGACGAGGCCGCAAAGACAGGGGGGGGGGGGGGGGGGGG